AAATGGCGAAGCGACCGCTGCCCATGACATCCGCAATTGCAGATGCGTTGCCTACCCTTATCCGACGGAGGAAGAGACGCACATAAAGAGGATATTTCCCCTTCCTATGCATATCCTCCACCGTCAAATTCACTTCCTCTTCCCATCCTCTTCTTGTGAGAAAAGGGTGGTAAAGAGAAAGGGACTAAAATTAGGCCTCCGGTACCACACTCATCATACGAAACACGGAATTGCTTCCATTTCACGCCTGTCTTCTGTGTGGTCGTGGTATTACACCGGGCGTGCCGGCCTATTCGTGCTAAGGTGTTAAAGCGGGCACTACCACTGTTTAAACCACTACCACTGTTTACGTGTTGTAATTAAAATTCGTCTGATTCGTTTATTGCAAACAAACAAATGTAATTAGTCTCGCCGAGCAGAATGAGTTAATTTTAAACTTAATTCAAATACAGTTAAATGTTAAGGGCAGCCCTAACTCTGAAAACTAATTATTTAGCTTTTATTTCATTTCAAACATTTAGATAATCTAGTTAAAACCTGCAAACACCGAACCAACCTCGTCATTTATTTTGTGTGTTTTGTACAGAAGAACAATGAGCGAAACGTGATGTTTGACGTCACATATCACGGAAACACTACGACGATTGTGTACAACGTTAACGTTTAACAGCATAACTCGCTCGGGAACAAAGCGGAGATAAATTGACGTGGGTGGAGTTCGGCGACGGTCGTTTGGCGTTTAGCGATAGCTCGTCTCCGCGCCGAGGGAATTAATTGTAGCCAAGTTTAATTGAAGCGCGAACATAGTCCTCTAGCCGGGACAGGGACAATTCCGCAGCCGTTCCGGAATTTGAACCGCACTTGTGAATTAAGTCTCGAATAGTAACGTTTGGTGTAGCTTTGAACGGATTGTAGTGAAAAAATTTAGATTACAAGCTAGAATTAGTACGTGATTACCGTTGGTTAATTCAAATGTCGAGTCGAACAATTTAAACCAAACAATATCAATGAAGGTTAAAATATTAAATGTCTGTTAATGAATCTTCAACTCGATTAGTTCAGTCTACGAGCAATAATTACTTCTATAAACTTCCATCTCGTTTCTAGTTTGTTATAAATTTATAACGAAATAAAACTGTATCGATTCAGCTAAAACGGTATCAATTTACGTCGGTAATTAAGTTAGCGAGGAGTTTGCGAGGTCATTTGTTAAAAGCTACCGCAACTGGTTGATAGCGACGCAGTAACGGGTAACTTGCGATGGCGTGCTTTACTACAAACTCAATAATCATACCATTTAACTAATCTAACAACTCGACCTAATGCCTATCTAGCTTTTACTTTCCAATACAGATTAGTAGAAAAGGACCTTTTGCAACCTTTGTTAATTTCTTGGATTCTGTACAAGACAGATCGTGTCCCAAAACTAATCATTACTCACTACAAAAATCTACGGTGAAATATATTAAAGAAGGTAACCAATGAAGTAACAAATAACTTATATGTCGATAGCGCGGCAACACTCGGCAAGTGTTTTGACTGTGCAAGTACAATAACAAGAAGCAAGTCGCCGCGGGCGAGTTGCCTGCGTCGGCAACTTGAGCGACTGTCTCTGACAGCTTTGGGGGCGGGGACTTTACAACATGTCAAAGTTTATTGTTCCACAAATGTTTACAACGGTAAGAACAAAACACAATAATTAAACGAAACATAAATACTAATACTTTTACTGCTGCACCCATTGTCTTGATATAATTAAACTGTCGCTTAACGATCACTTAAAAGTGTCTACCTGTAGCAGCCAGAAGGACCTGGCGGGGCAGGCGCGCGCTGAGCCGGCCAGCAGGCGCGCGGCCGGCGCCAGGTGCAGCACGCAGCCGCAGCGGCAGCGCGCGCCCACCTCCGCCACCACGGCCGGCGCGTCGCCAGCCCACGCGCGCCCCGCGCACTCGCACGCCGCCAGCTCCACCGCCGGCCCCTGACACACACACTCGCTACTGTTCTGCACTAAGGGTCATGTTGCGCGCCTCACCAGCCGCCTCCTGCCACATACACTCGAAACAAAACTAATTATCCAGAAAAAGAGAAAAGTTGCGAGGTTATTATAGGTGACCTTACAGATCATGAAATAAAATATTTTGTCTTCTTATACTTTATTCTAAAATATGTTTAACAAAATAGAATCAATAACATATACTTAAGTAGGTACTATAAAAGTACAGACGATAAACAGCTATTACAACAAAAAAGGTATCCCTCTCTAAACAATAAGTTACAAAAAATAAAATGAAAATCAGAAAGTACCAAACCTGTTCACTTGGGCTCTTCCTCCTTCTGCTTCTCCTCATCTTGTTCTCCGTTAGCGGGCTGCTCCTCCTCTCCCCCAGCCTCGCCTGTCACAGCCTCCGACTCTATCGTCTGAGATTTACCTTCTCCCTCTACGCTTTCAAAGTCTTTTTCTTTTTCCTCAAAGATAACAGACTTGGACATTGTAACTTTCTGTTTCTCTTCGGAAAGCCTAGCTCGCGAGCTCAGCTTCCTTTGGGACGCCAAGTCTTTCATTATGGACTTCTGTATTTCGAGTTTACTTTTAACGAGCTGCGCCTCTATGTCATCGCTAGACCCTTCCTTGTCTCTCTCGGAAGATCCCGAAGTGACAGAAGAATGAGATGACGTCACAAACGAGGAAATGCTCTGTTTCACGGCCAAGTCCTGCACCGACGAAGGAGGGATGAGTTTCATACTTGGAATCGTTTTGATGCTTCCTATCGTAGATGAGGACACCGCCATCGACTCGCTGCTTTCTTTTTCAGCACTGACAGTTTCTTTAGATATCGTAATAACGACTGTGGAGCCCATCGATTTCTTCGAATAAGGTTTCGGGACGAATCCTAGATCGCCTTCTTCATATATTTTAGTTAGAGATGCGAGAGTATCAGTCGAGTCGGCTTTATGCAATTCACGATACTGGTTTATAATTGACAACAAACGTGAAAGTAGTAGTTCTCTATTCATCATATCACGACTCTTGTCCGTGATGGCCCACTGGTCTAATTTCAACGCTGCCTGGATCGCTGTAGCCGCTTCTTTAAGTATTCTCTTGAGTTTTGCATTTTCTTTGTTAACTTTAGACGTCTCCACGATACACTTATTTTCTTCAGTCATTTTTGCGTGAAGATTTTGCTCTAGAATACGAATTTGCAACAACTGGTTCTCGTTTTCTTTGGTTAGTTTCTGAATCTTTGCTTGCAATGTTTCAAAATCATAGTTTCTCTTTTCAAAGAGAGCCTTTTCCTTGTTTATATTTTGGAAAGCCGATGTAAGCTGATCGATTACTTTCTTTTGAACGATATTTTTGTTGATAGCTTTATCTCTTTCTTCTTCGGCTAGTTCCATAGCGATGCGAGCATTTCTCTCATTTTCCCTGTATTTGTCATTTAGCTCAGTTAACTTCGACTGCGCGGACAATATGTTATCGAGTTCATTATTGATCGCTATGTTCTCCCTGATCACTCTGTGAGTGGACGCCGCCACTCTCAGTTCAGTCGCATCTTGGAAATCCTGGGCTAATTGTAAAAGTCTGCCTTCCATCTCCTTTTTTAATTTATCTTTACCTATTACAAATTTCTTCTCGGCGTCATAAATAATTCTTTTGTACTTCATCTCTTGGTCCTTAAAGTCTTGTTCCTGTTTCTCGTACTTCTTCATCAAATCATCTCTTATACATCTAAATTCTTCAAGTGTGTTTAATTTACCTGCTAATAACTTATTTTCAGAAGTCAACTGTTCTTTCATTACTGTGAAGTTTCTTTCCAGTTCAGACACTGTCTTCTTAAAGTTAGCCGTTTCTATTTCCCTGATTTCCTCGAGGCCTTTAACTTTTTCTTTTAGCTCAACGTTTTCATCATTTTTGGTATTAATTACCTTCTTCAGATATGCAATAATATCTGCGCGGTCTTCGTCCAACTTATCGTAAGCTTTCTGCAACTCCTCATTTCGTATCTCGTAGTCTTCGATAGAGGCTCGAAGTCTTGCGAGTTTTCGATTGCAATCTGCTATTTCTAACTCAAAAAATGTTTTTTCCGTCTCCGTCACTGTGGGCGCGGTCCCCGCTTCATCTTGCTTCTGTTTCTTGCCCTTTTCTTTTTTAGGCGGCATGACCTCGGACTAAATGTAACGCAATAAAAATTAACGAATTCAAATCTTAGTGTAACAAAGCACGTTTTGAGTAAATCGGAAATTATCGACCAAACGGTTGCATAGCAACGCGGTGGCAGCGCACAACAACACTGTATTATGTCACTGACCTCTATAACTATCTATGGTATTGTGTGTTCACTCTTGACTGAAAATATTTTGTAAAGTTTTCTCTTTCGAAAAAATAAAAACACTGCATTGTATTAATATTGTATCTAGACACATTGTATGTACAAATAATATTTTTTTTTTGCTAACGGACATGCTACTTTTATATACAACTAGCTTTCGCCCGCGACTCCGTCATCGTAGAATTTAAAAAAAACACAAAAGTGAGTAGCCTATGTGTTCTTCCAGACTATTCTCTACATCTATACCAAATTTCACCGAAATCCGTTAAACTGTTTATGCTACAAACTCTAACAAACATCCATCCATCCATCCGTACATCGTTCTAAACTTTTGCATTTATAACATTATTATTTAGAAGTTAGATAGATGATTATTATACAAACTATAATACAATGCATACGCATAAAATTCAATCGGTTATTGTAAGGACCTTTAGGTACTTCAGTTTAGTTTTTAAGCTAAGCTAAGAGAGACTGACCTCGCAGTACTTGGCGCCGTACGCGGGCGGCGGCGAGTCGCAGAAGCGGTGTCGGCTGCGCGTGCGCGTGCTGCAGTGCGCCGGCGCCGGGCACGCAGACCACGCCGACCACGCGCCCCACGCGCCCGCGCCGCCCTCTGTACAACACGCACTATTAGTAATAAGAGGCTGTATACTAGAACAAGCCAGCTCTACGGTCGAGGGTTTCACCAGAGAGCGGCAGCGTGGGCAGGCAGTCCATGCGCACGTCGGCCACGGCGCCCGTCACCGCCTGCGACACGTACACGAAGCAGTACTCCGGGAACCGCTCGCTGAACAGCCGGCAGTCGAACGACGCCGTGTGCTGCCCTCTACGCAACACCACGTTTCATTTTACAACAACATAAGACTAGGGGACATAAACAAAAGATGCTTGGGCAATAATAATGGCGATGTAATTAACCTGGTAACCCTACGCTCGGCGACGTAGCGCAGGCGGTCGCGGTCGCGTCCGAACACGCGCACGCGGTCGGCGCGCTCGAGCACGCACTCGGGATACTGAAAGAGCACGCGCACGCCGGCGCCGCACGGCAGCACCGACCCGCCGCGCACGTTCAGCACGAACTGCTCCGACCAGTCCGCCTGACCGACACGACAGCATGCACATAACCACAATATGCACTCAAAAAAGTATCCAACATAGAGTTGAAAACTACTCACGTAAAAAAAGAAAGGAGATGTGAAGCGGCAGTGTATTCAGTCGTTCAACAGCGAAAGATACTTGTCTACAGTTTTAATTTTTCTTACTACTTAATGCACTTGAATTTTAAAGCTAAATGTTTCATTTTATTTGTAGGAACTCTGCTTTACGGTATGTGAAAACACTTTTAAAGTCAAGTATAAAATGAAAATGTTTAACAAGTTAAAGCTTTAGTGCAAAGGCCTAGTTTTGTTGGCGAGTATCGAGCGAGCTAGACGCGTGCCGCTCCCCGGCGCAGCGCTGCAGCGCTTCAAATATTCAAACGTTTGCTGCAGCCGCTGCAGTTCCACCAACTTTACTTAATAGACTGGAAAGTCATTAAATGCGTCTATTACGTCGAGGGCGTGTATGCTAAAATTGTGTAACTGCTGCTATTTAAAAGTATACTGAAAAACATATACGAGGCAAAAACACTTGCTATTTATTTTTTGTTCGGTTTAAAAACGATTTTAAGAATACTCAAACATTCTAAAACTGTTAAAATGTACAATATGCTGACTGAATCAAATTCACCATTCAAATGCAAATGATAGAATTTGTCGCAAATACAATTCTGTGAACTGCTCAGAGGACGACCAAGGAATGTTTCAGTTCATTACATCACATAGTACTTTACAAATTCTGATTTTATATACACAAGTTGCGAAAAACCATTTATAAAGGGTACACTATATTTTTATAACACTTTTTAATTTATCATTGATTTGGTATATTTGTTGAACTTGTATATGGTAAACATAAAAACTGTGTCTGGCAGCGGTTCTGGAGTGGCTAAGTGGCCCTCGGTCGGGGCTGGGTCGAGTGCTTTATTGGCGACGTCAACAGCGTTTCAAGACTTTTCACAACTACTACAAAAAGTGCCCAAACCCCACTACACGATGCCCTATCAGCTTACAGTCATCTTACTTTGTTTCGAGTCCAATTCATATAATGTATAATATTAGAAACAAGGCGTACGGTAACAAAGATAGAAGAATACAGAGACTTTATACTTTTCCACTCAGGCAACACACCGGGTAAATATGGGGTAGGCTTCTTGATAAAGAAACGGTATAAAAACAATATAGAAAGTCTCATTGGCTACACAGAAAGAGTCGCACTACTAAACATAACAATAGAAGGAACCCAGATATCAATCATACAAGTGTATGCACCAACTGAAAAAGCAAGTGAAGAAGACATCGATAACTTTTACACAACAGTTTGTACAGCAATAGAAGCTGCCCATAAATTCTATATACTGATGGGTGATTTTAATGCAAAAATAGGTAAACCAAGACAGGAAGAAAAGCTGATTATGAAGCATAATGGGTACGGCGAAAGTAATGAGAGAGGACAAAAATTAATCAATTTTGCTATCGAAAACAAGCTTACAATAATTAATACTTTATTCAAAAAGAAAACAAAACACAAATGGACCTGGAGATCACCAGATGGTAGATATAAAAATGAAATCGACTATATGCTATCGAACCGACCATACATGTTTCACAATATAGAAGTATTAAATATAAACTACCCATCAGACCACAGACCATTGCGAGCAACAATAACATTAACAAGTAAAAAGAAGAGCAGGGCCAACTACCACAAAACAAAAACTAAACTAACAAATGTCGATGAGATAGAAAAATACATCGAATGCTTAAAGTCCGAAGAATCTCAAAACTTACTTAACCTGAATGAAAATATAACTGTACAGGAATACTACGACAATATTTTAAGAGCTATAAATAAAAGCCTTCAGGCTGCTGAAAAAACAACAAAGAATCAAGCCAAGGCTCATAAAATTCTATCAGAACGAACTTTGAACCTACTTATTAAACGCCAGGAACTTCAGAAAAGTAAAAACAAAACTCGAGCAATTAAAAACCAAATTTCTGCACTCTACAAGTTAGTTAATAAATACATAAAGAAAGACTACACAAACTATAGATACAATATTATTAACAATCACCTCAACAAAACAGGAAGTATAAAGAAAGCCTACAAAGAACTTACGACGAGCAAAAAGTGGATCGACGGATTGAAAAAAGATGACAAAATATCACACAATCGGAGTGAGGTAGTTAATATAGCAACAGAATTTTACAAAAAGCTGTATAGTACCAAGGAATACAACACTAAAAACTCATGTGAATATAACAGAAACAACATTGGAAAGAATGAAGTAAAAGAAATAGACGAGAACGAAGTGTTTACAGCGATAAATAAACTGAAGTTGGACAAAAGCCCTGGCTCAGACAATATTACAAATGAATTTCTTAAACTAGCTGCACCTATTTTATCTATACCCTTCACAAAACTCTTTAACACCATTCTAAAAAGAGGAGAAACACCTAGCCAGTGGTCAGAGTCCAGCATCACACTAATTTATAAAAAAGGAGATCCAAACGACGTGGGAAACTACAGACCTATAAGTCTAATGCCTGCCATCTACAAGCTCTTCTCCTCCATAATTAATAAAAGAATAAGCAGTACTATAGAGGCTAGGCAGCCTATAGAACAAGCTGGTTTTAGAAAAGGATTCTGTACTATCGACCACATCCACACACTAGAGCTCCTTATAGAAAAGTACCAAGAAATGCAAAGACCACTCTACCTAGCATTTGTTGATTACCAAAAGGCTTTTGACACCATTTCCCATGACAGCTTATGGAGCACTCTAAGATCTCAGGGAGTAGAAGAACCATATATTGAAGTAATTAAAAACATATATAAGAACAGCAAAAATAGAATCAAACTTGAGTCAGTTGGCCCCTGGTTCCCCGTACAAAGAGGAGTAAAACAAGGCGACCCACTATCTCCAAAACTGTTTATAGCGACATTGGAATCAATAATTAGCACACTAAACTGGGGGAGCTTTGGAATACCGATCTCAGGAAAGTACCTAAACCACCTACGTTTCGCAGATGACATAGTACTAATATCGGAAAACAGCTCTCAATTGCAAGTGATGATTGAGTCATTAAACAAAGCTAGCAAGAACGTAGGGTTAGAAATGAATCTCTCCAAAACAATGTTAATGACTAACGCAGACAACACCAGGGCGTTAATATTGGTCGAAGGCAAACCTTTGAAATATACAGAAATATACACATACCTTGGAAAACAAATAGGGTTCAACCGACACTGCAACGATCAAGAAGTAAACCGAAGAATACAGCTGACATGGAATAAATACT